CCTTATCATTTTTTAAACTTCCAAATTCTTTCTTAACCAGATCAGAATTAATGCAGTCATCTTGTTTGATCTCGTTTCCATTTATCAGTTGATCAAAATGTGGAATACTGCTTAAATTTCATCAGTAAAAAACCAAAGAAAATGCAAAATTTAATGACCAAGCCATCTCATAATCATCAGATAATAACTCTCTTTTATCATCCCTCAAGGGTCCTATCCCCATTCTAACATTTTATTTACCCTTAACATATTTAAAGAAGTCTTACTGTTAATTTTTACACTTTCAGCCAACCTTTTCTCATACATCCTTTTTGATGTTCTAATTTCCTGTTTCACCAACTTTCTCAATCTTCCATCATACCAGAAAATTTAAATTTCTTAAATTTATTATGCTTTTCTTTAATTTTATCTCTTAAACTCTTTGTGAGACAATCTGGTTTTTTACTTTTCCTTCTATAAATGTATCTTTAAAAATTTTCCACATCTGATCAGTCTCTTCAAATAACTCAGCTGCCAAATTCACAACAGATAATTCTTGTCCCATCCCTTCCAAATTTGCTTTTTTTTTAAATTTGTAACCAAAATATCATTATTCCTTATCTCCATATGCAGCAAAACACTGAACCTAATAGAACAATGATCACTTGCACCCAGATGTACCCCAATTTCCACCTCAACCATTTCTGTATTTGAATTAAGTCTAAAATAGCAGTGTTTCTAGTTGGTTCCTTGACTAACTGGTGAAGAAAGCCATCCTGAACAATTTCCAAAAACATTTCTCCCTCATGGTTTGACTCTAGAATTTCCAAATCTATATGCCTGAAATTAAAATCACCCATAATGTTTAATTATTGAAACTAATGAATGAACTTCAGATACTACAATAGATGCTGCTAATACTCAACCAAATACGTGTCAAAGAGTGCTATGACTAAATCATCTCGGTGATTACAGATAACTTGTAGGACTCCTTCCTGCCAAGAGGAGAAAGCATGTAAACTAGGTAAACCAAACCTGATTATTGTAAAGGTATTGTTATAACACAATATGTTGTAACTAGTGTCAGTCTGGGTGATAAAATAGAATATAAAAAAAAAATTAAACATCTATATGAAATGATTAAATTAACCACCTCTATTTGAAGGAGGAAGAGAGTGAGGTACATTTTTTAATTATTATTATGTTTGCATTTTATGTAATTATGCCTCTGTTATTTAATTGAGCTGTCTTTTAAGTTTTTTATACATAATAACAACTCATACTTCTTTTGAGTTAATTGTAACAGTACTACTTTCACAGTGAGGCAAGATGACAGAAATTGTGTACATGGTGCTGAGGTCTTTGCTGTAGTAGCGGTTATATAAATGAGCTGGTTGTTATAAGGAAATAATCAATACAATGGCTGCATGTAAATCAGTTTGTCACTCTTCATGGTGAGCAAAAAGTCTGGGCACCCTCCCTCAAATAAAGACAATGTATTTGAAAGAACAAATTTATTGCATATTAACACAGACTAACAAAAGGTTCGATTAATAATCCAAAATGACTCTCTGTTGGCCTTCATTTTCAAGACATAGGATGATACATCTCCATGTGCAATGTGACATCATCCTTAGCATATCAGTGGTGACCTAAGTGAAACTTTCAACATTTTTTTTATTTCAAAACATCAGTTGTTTCATATCATTCCTTCAACACAATCATTACTAAAATGCAAACACCTAAACTGTTAGCATGAACTTTAAAAAAGAGGTTGCCCAGACTTTTTGCCCACCCTGTATGTAAATACATGAAGTTCATCAGATGTTTAGTTAATAACCAATAATTGTTCTAAACTGAGTTGTAATCTTATCATCTAGTAACAACTAAATTTATGTGTAGAAAAAGAAAAGAAAATTAAAGACTCCAAATACATATTTTCCATTCAGATGATGCTTGAAACTTGGTTAGAACTGATACGTGTAGGGATTTATATTTAATCAGTATTGCATTGTTAAGCAGATTTTGTGATAATTTATAAAGCATATTTTTTTTCTTTCTGGTTCTTTTTCCTAACTTGAGTCAGAAGTGAAAGAATTTATTTGTATTGTTTATAAAAGAAGTCCAGGTCCATCTTAATTCTTTTAAGCTTGTGAAAGTTCTAATATATACTTAGTTTGATAATAGTTCTACTATTAATGTTTTGAGTAGAATAAAAGATTTGTTACATGCTTACCAGCTTTTATATATTTTTTATTACGACGTCTATTTTCATGGATGATTGAGGACACTCTAATAGGTGTTGTGTATTTTGTGTTTCATAAAGCTTTTCATAAAGTGCTTCATGGAAGATTAATCAAGAATTTTCTTATCCAATTGATGAAAAAGTAAAATATTTTTATAAAATTTATATGATAGTAATATGGAAAGCGAAGAGGTGGTATATGTGTATATTTCTGTTTGGGAGCTAGTGGTTAGTATGGTCCTTAAGGCCTTTGTTTTGGGACCTTTTTTTATTTGTTAGTTTTGTCAATGATGCCAATAACTACATGGGTGTAGCATTTGGAAAAATACTCATTCAGAGAAGGATATAAATTTGAAAGGCTTGAATAACTCTAATAAGTGAGGAAGAATAGTAATTTCAATATTACGAAATGTAAAATCATGCACGTGAAGTATAGACATTTTGAAAGGAATTATAAGTTACTATTAAATGAGTGGAACACTGATACTGTGAAGAAAAAATAACTTGGGTAAGCTTTTTGATAAATTTCTGAAATATTTGATGCAATGTTTGACTGTGGTTAAAAAGAGAAGTTTTGAATCTAATCAAGGAAACTTGAAACATCCATACAATCACTCCATTTTTGCAAGTTCTATCATATCCAGAAATATTATTTTACGTTTATGTGCATCTGATACAATTGTGTTTTAATTATAATGATTACGTCAATTTTTCATGCATTTCATAACAAATTGCTACTATATGAGAAAAACTTTATTTCTGACTACAAAATGGGAGATTGGTGGTCTTCATATACTATATGATGCTTTTCTCTTTCTGATTACTTATATTCAAAAGTTTAGTCTTTTTTTCCAGTAATTTTTATGTAATTGTCCTAAGAATAACAATTCCATTAACTGAACTTTATTTGTTCTAACAAAATTAGCATGCTTATGATTTCATAGTTAACATAAGACAAGTGAACTCCCACTATCAAGGTTTCATTGCATTGTGCTGCTTCCATGTGATAATTTCTCATTGCTTCAGTTTTGAGGTGTGTGATTGTACTTGTGCACCTTCGCATGCTTAATTTTGACCCACGGTTTTCCTGAGTGCTTCAGTTAACCATACATCATTGGAATAACTGTGTTTTCCAACCTTTTGTTATACAAATACATTTCTAAATTAAATGTTAAGCACATGATATTTTTTATTTAAGCAACGATCAACAGAATACAAACTAAGATTTAGCAAATCTGTAAACTGTCTTAGAAAGGGTAAAATTTTAAAAGGTTCAATCACATGTCTTAGAAGTGGATAATTTCACTCTCCTGCCTTTTTAAAGTACAAAGCATTGCTCTCATAGTGAATTTCTTGCATTTTTTTTATTTATATGATATCAAATAAATAATTTGTGTGCTGCAATAATATGTGAATGACTAGTACAATATACTAAAAAACATCCCCCAACATAATTTGAAAATTTATGTTTATAATTTTTCAAGTTCATAGAAGTTAAATTATTGAATTATTCCACTCATTCATGTGATTATTGACCTCATATATATCTGAAAAGTACACTTGACTCTGTATAAGTATAAATATACTTATCAAGTTAAAAGACTGTTTGTATCATTGAATATACATCTAATGCCATGATGTTATGTAAGTTGTGTTATTAATGTGTGTATGTTATGTACTTTCCATATAATGTTACATATCATGCATCATGCTATTATTACAATAAATAACTAACTTTAAAATGTTTTTGTTGTATTACTTTACATTGTGTTTGGGTATAAGAAATTTGCAACTTTTTTCCTGTGACTATTTCTGGCCATTGTTCACAGAACTTACTATTAAAATGCAAATCTTTCTATTAACACTTTTATAACTTCAATTAAATATTTGTCATGAACAGCCTCAATAATTATATTAAATACACAAAATAAAATATAAATAACATCTGTTTAACTTATCATTCGTTCTTTTTTGGGGTTGCAAATATAAGAAAATGACCTGCCCAAAGAAGGCCTTTTTCAAACCAGTGGCACAACACATAGTTACAGTAATATTTACTCAAATCAAACTTTCTGGTGAAGCAAGCTAGAAACCTAAAGGTCCAACAAATAAGCACTAAACCAAAAAAAAAGAAAATTATATATTTGAGTAATATAAATAATACAAATATAAATGAAATACAAGTATTTCTTTACTTCACTCAGTGTATCACAAAACTGATACAAAGAGTTTTATAGTATACCATGAATTACAAAGTGTATTTGTTTTTAAGTATTTATGGTAAGGTTGTGGTGATCTGATATTACATATTGTCATGGCTAATGGCCTACAAGGTAACCTAAGTATCTAATTATTAGTTAGTTACTACTTATTATTATCACTAGATACCAATTACTAACTAGCTTATATCTTACATTTTGGCTGCTAATCTGTTGCCATCTTCAAGGTAAGATCTGAAAAAAAGAAAAAAAAAGACTGTGTTTGTGGTGGTATTGGTTGGGATTTAATCCTGGTCATTTTCATAGAAAGACTGGTGTACTATCCACTTGTCTGTGGTCTCTTCCATTAGGTCTTGAATCAATTAACAATTTGAATAGTTTCAAGATGGGTATTCAGGTTTTACTAACTTCTATTCCAGATTGGCTAAATGTGTTACAGTTACATGAATTCAAATGGCTTCTTTTATCTTTCTTTGCTCATGTGTGGTTCACATCCCTTTATTTTCATATTATTCCAATTTATTGTATAGTCTTCTTTTCTGACATGATGGGCTATTGCAGATGGATTGGAATTACAGTCTTTTATGTTTATTATATTCCTGATTTCTTACTTTTCTTGTTTTTTCCAATGTATTGGAACCCACTTTTATGAAAGGTGTAGTAAATTGTATTTTGGGTCTTCAATGGTATACAAAAGATGCTGAGAACAAGGAAGTAAAAACATCATTGTAATCCTCCATGAAAATGAATACCCTATAGGCACTTGATAAAGAATATAAAGAAGATAAAAACCAAAAGTAAGCAGGAAAAAAACATACACACAGCCATATTCTCCTATGTCAAAGGTTTCTCTGAAGATATACAAAGGATATATGAACAGTATAAAGTCATTATACATTCAGAAGCCGCAAGACAATATGATCACAGCTACTACACATCATCTACAGACCAGACATTAGAAAATAAAAGATGATAAAACCAGCCTTCTGCATCTACCTAAATAACACATCCAGTCAACCTAGCATAAAATTCAGCAAGACTTGAATACTCCTACCAATAGATTAGTAGCCAAAACATACAATATGGACTAGTTAGTAATTAATATCTGGTAAAAAAAATGAAAGAAAAAGAAAAAATGGTGACTAATTAATAATTAGTCTTAGATTGTCATACAGTATAACATCCATACACAAGCAGTAACCTTTTCAAAGAATGTTAAATGATTTGCAAGGCAAGATTTTCCCTCAGTGAAACCATGTTGACT